GTTCGTGCCGCGTGTAGCCGCGCGGCACGGGGTTCGAACCAGCCGGGATTTAAAAATGGTGGCGCCCGGCTTATGCAAATGAAGCCCGGGAAATTCAAATCCCGGGCTTCATTTGCAAGTGCGGTATGCCTATATTACCCCGCTAGTTCGAACTAGCGGGGTAGTGTAGACATACCCAAAAAGAGTCTGATGGACTTCTCTGAAACCACCTTTGTGAATAAGAAGATCTGAATTTGGCATCCTACTAAAATTAGTACTGTTGTGAACAGCAGTATGGACAGAGAAATAGCACAAAGGGACCTAGAGGGATAGGAAATATGGTCAGGAAATAAGGAGCTAGCATAGCTGGAAGGAAAAAAATCAGAAACATCAGTATGCAGCGTGAGGGAGAAATATGGAAAGCAGGGGGCAAATCAGATATAAATTTGTAATGCAACACTGCAGAGAACAAATTAAATGCAGTTTGAGCTTGTGGCAGGGTCAGGCCAGAAGGCTGCTACAAAGTAGGAGAAAGGCAGCCCAAAAGATGTAAAAGGCCTGCTAAATAGAAGCGGAGGGCAGCAGGACAATTAGAAGCAGCTGGTAGGGAGCTAGCCCAGGCAGATTGGACCAGCTGATTCCACTGCAAGCCTGCTGGAGGCTTTTAAAAGCCTCCCCAGTTGAAGGTGGGGTGGAGAATGAGAGGATGGAAGGGGAGGTAGAGGAGAAACAGAGTGTGAGAGTAAACACCTTCTCTTAACATGAACACTTTAATTCACTATTTTTTCCCTTCCTTTCCCCCTCCCCTATTTATTTTGGAACTGGACTTTTAATACTCCACTCATCTGAAGAAATGGGCTGTACCCACAAAAGCTCATGAAACCATCTACATGTTTTATTAGTCTTTAAGGTGCTGCTAGGCTATTTATTGCTTTTTAAGGATAGCTGAGTTACTCCAATAGAGCAGGAACATTTAGAGAAGGTGCAGGAGGCCCACGAGGCCTATTACAACCATCGAGCAACAATCTGGAAATTCCACACGGGAGACTGGGTGATGGTGTTGGTACCAACGGCAGAAAATAAGCTCCTGGCTAGGCAGCAGGGGCCATATGATGTGACAGAGGCCATTGGGGAGGTAGACTACAAGGTTCATCAGCCTGACTGGCAGAAGATGGAACAAACATATCATGTCAACCTCTTAAAACCCTGGCAAGACAAAGAAGTACAGTTGATTGCTCTGGGAGCAACCCCAAGAGGAAATCCTGGAAAGGCAAGAGGGAATATTCCCTTAGTTGACCCCAGACCAACAAGCAGAAGTGGCTGACATGACTGAGAGAAATTACAATGTGTTTTCTGCAAAGCCCAGTAGAACTACTGAGGCTTACCACGACATCATCACCAATCCAGGAATGAAGGTGAATGTTAAACCCTACCGAATCTCCAAGGCAAAGTGAGGGGAGAGCCAGGCTGAAGTTAAGAAAATGCTAGAAGTAGGAGTCATTGAGGAATCCCGTAGCCAGTGGTCTAGTTTTATTGTTTTGGTACCCAACCCAGATGGAAGCCTATGATTTTACAATGACTTCCAAAAGCTGAACAAGATGTTGCCTACCCCATGCCACAGGTAGATGAGCTCATTGACCAACTGGGAAAGGCCTGCTTTCTGTCCACTCTTGACTTGACCAAGGGCTACCTGCAGATCCCTCTGACCCCAAAGGAAAAGATGGCCTTTTCAACTCCAGAGGGTCTTTTCCAGTATATGGCTTTCCCTTTTGGCCTACCTGAGACCCCCACAACATTCCACAGGCTCATGCACAAGCTATTACACCCACATGCCCACTATGCAGCTGAGTATCTTGACAATGTTATCCACAGCCCAGATTGGGATATACACCTAGAGAAAGTGGAGGCTGTGTTGGATATCCTGAGGATACAGTGAACCCCACTAAGTGTGAAATCGGGTTAGCCGAAGCTAAATATTTCGCATATATATTATGAAGCCCCAACTCAACAAAGTAGAAACAATACAAAATTGGCCCTTGCCAGCCAGGAAGAAGCAGGTCAGGGCATTCCTAGGACTGGTTGGATATTATCGCAGGTTCATTCCCCACTTCTCTTCTAAGGCATACCCCTTGACTGACCTGACCAGAGCCCGTGGCCCAGACATCGTAAAATGGACCACTGCAGCAGAAGAAGCTTTTACTGATCTGAACACCGCCCTCTTCAGTGACCCAGTTCTCATAGCCCCTGACTTTAAGAAAGAGTTTATCTTGCAGAAAGATACCTCGGAAGTGGGGTTAGAGGCAGCATTATCACAAATGGTTGGGGAAGAAGAAAATGTCATCCTGTATCTCAGAGCTCCGGCTTAGGGAACAACACGATGCTGTCATAGAGAGGGAATGCCTTGTAGCAAAATGGGCCACAGAAAGCCTACACTGTTGCCTCCTTTGGTGAGAGTTTACCCTTGTCACCGTTCATGCACCACTGCAATGGATGCACTGAAAGAAGGATAGTAATGCGAGGATAACCAGGTGGTTCCTGTCCCTGCAGCCCTTCCTCTTTCATGTGCAACACAGGCTGGGAATCCAGCATGGGAACACAGATGGCTTGTTGAGGGTACATAGTTTTCTGACCCAAGTAGCCTGACCCCGTGGTGTTGAGCAAGGGAGGAGGATGTGTGGCAGGGCAAGGCCAGAGGGCTGCTACTGAGTGGGAGAAAGGCAGCCCAAAAGGGATAAAAGGCCTACTAAATAGAAGCGGATGGCCACAGGACAATTAGAAGGAGCTGGTAGGGAGCGGGCCCAGGCAGACTGGGGCCAGCTGACTCCACTGCAGGCCTGCTGGAGGCCTTTAAAAGCTTCCCCAGTTAGAAGGTGGGGAGAAGCATGAGCGGATAGGAAGAAAGAAAGTGAGCAAGACAGCATGAGTTTGAGAATAAGTATCTGCTTTAGAGCAGAAACAGCAGGGTAGAGGGTCCCAGAAAGAGTGGCTTGTTTCTCTACCCCAGAAACAAGCTGCAAGCCCAACCCCTGGGGAAGGGGCAAGCAAGCTGCCAGCCCAAGCAGTGGCCTGGGGAAGAGGGGCCCTTGCCACAGGGATGCATACAAAAAGGCATTGAGTCATAAACTCAGGAGCTGTGCTCTAGGTTGCAGAGCAGGTCCGTGGCAGCCAGAGAGAGAAACCAATGGACTGCAATGGGATTTAAGCCTGTGCTTAAAATTTGGCATGTCCTTAAGAGTTGTGCTGAATAAAGAGGGGCTTAAGCAAGTGCTTAAAATTAAGCATAGGTTGCAATGCTTTGCTGAATCAGGCTCTCGTTTCCTAGCTGATGTTTGGGTGGATTTTTAGCTAGAAGCAGTTTATCTGCCTTCTCTAGAATTGCAGCTGTGGTATTTGGCATTCGTCTCTTTTGGCCTGGCTACCTGCTTAAAGTATGTGATGCACTGTGCCATCAACATGGATGAAAGGCATATTGTACAGTCAGACCTCCTGACAGTCATCCACCTGGATTGTTTAGGCTTGCCCTCCCTCCCTTCTGGCCAGGCACTGCTGCCTCCTACATCTGAACTTTCACATTCCAAATTGTTTGCAGGCATCTGAATTATGCATGGCATTTCTCGGGTTACTTCTCACCAAACTAGAGCCTGGTTGGTACTGAATGGCCTTCACCCTGGGAGGAAATCCTTCTGTCTCCTATTGTCAGACCTCTCCCAAGGCTTACCTGCTGTTAAGAAGAAACATTATGTAAAGGTTAAAAGGGGGTAAAGGTGATTTGGTTTCTATTCCTGGCTCTGCCCTGACTTGTGAAGCCTAAAGCAGGCCATTGACACAGTGTGTGCTTTCGTTTCCCCATCTGTGAAGGGAGTGCATAATACCCAGATGTTTCACAAGAGTGTCGTGGTTACATGATTTAGTGCTGGCACAAGGCTTGGAGCTCTTTTAATAGAAGGTGCCACAGGAATACACAATGCCTCCTGGATGGTGCAAGTAGAGGGGCCATACCCTTCCGGCAGCGACATCAGAGTAAGCCCAGAGTAACTCAATTCATCTCAGCAGACTACTTTTTGATTTTTCACTTGTGTAACTAGAGGTACGTCTACACTTCATGGTTATTTCAGGATACCAGAGGTATCCCAAAATAGCTACACAAGCCACCCGTTATTTCAAAATATTTTTCAAAATAACAGGCATGCTATTTTGCTATCCCGGTAAACCTCATTGCACAAGGGATAAGGGATGGCTCAAAATAGCGTGGTTTTTCAAAATTTGCCAAATTTCAAAATAAGCTATTTTGAAATAGTTTTGAAATAAGGTACACAATTTCTGCTACCAAATTGTGTATCTTATCTTATTTCAAGTTTAGGGCGCTGTGTAGATGCACCAAAGAGAAGAATTTGGCCTGATATATCCAGCATATTTTCTCTTCTTTATCTCTTAGGCAGTTGTACCTAGCACCGTCTTGTTGACGGTGTGTGATGTTTTGTGGCTTAGGGCATGCAACAAACTCTCTGGTCAATGTGGATATTCTCATGTTTGTTTCCAGAAACTGTGGCCTGTATCAAGCAAGCTGCAAGTCAACAGTAGCAGGGTGTGTCTTTTTCAGACCAGCCCTTTTGAGGGTGGGATTTTCCTAAACTACAACATTTGAAGAGGTCTGATTGTATCCAGTAGAGGGCAGTTGTGCTTATGCAAACAAAGCAGCAAGTTGCAGGCTCAGTCTCTCTTCATTTACCACAACACACAGTACTATCAATAAAGTGGCAACCAATTTGAAAGACACTTTTGATATTTCCCTATGAAATAGCCATAAAACTGCTCTTTTGCCCCAAATTATAATACCCCATTTCACACAAGGCAGACTTCATCAGGATAGAGCCAACATGACTTCATATTATGGCAAGTACATTCCATGGGTGAGAAAATACTGCTCCTTTGGTCTTTCCAAGCAGGGCCAATAAGAGAATCACGAGGCATTTTCACAAGTGAGCCTGTTCTCAGATTTCCAGCCCTGAAGGCTTCAAATAAATTCTGATATGCAATTCCAAACCTCTGAACTTTTTGAGGTTTGCCAATTGCTGACTGAGATCCACATATTGTGGTGTGCTGGTCACATGTGCAGGCAGTGCATGTGAAAGTTCTGGTATCTGTGACGGCCAATTTTCTGTGAAATTTGGCTGCTTGAGTGAAAGAACATGGTCTAGTTGTTAGAGTAACATGAAAAGTGAGTCAGGAGTTGGTTTTAATTTGATTCAAACCAGTTCACACTTCCCTAATTAACACAAAAGTGGGGAAAACACATTTTATGCTCAGCAAATCATGAGATTTATGTGGCTAACTCTTCTCCTCTGAATGTGGCAAAATTCCTACTGACATCAAGGACACAGGATATGGTTCATAGACAAGAAATGGATTGGTCATGATAATACAGGTTCAAATACACCATGAGATAAGACATAACTGGGGTCAGTCAGCGTCAGTTCACTGACATCAATGGAGGGCCATTCATTTACAGAACCTGAGAATTTAGTTCTCCAGAAAACATTTATTGTTAATAATTATAATGGCTATTTATAAACATATCCAATAATTAGTAATGTGTGATTCAGGGATACTGATTTTGGAGGAGTGGCTTTAGAGCAGAATTCCCCTCTTTCAAACACATCTGAAATCTGGGAGGCTCAGGTCATTAATGGGTATTTGGATTCTGAGATTATGGTCCAGCTCCATAGTGGGCTGAAGCAGAAATCTGAATCAAAACAATGCTGGCTTTTTGAGACTGTTTGAACTCTAGTCACAGATCTGCATCTCAAGCCTGTCTTTACTTGATTCCAATGGAAATAACGTTGTGACAGTCATACTTCTGGTTTTGCACAATAACATGTACTTACATTACCTTAAGGCTGAAGTCCTTCTATCCAGAATCCAGCCTGGATGCCAGGTATAGACCACAGGAAAGAGCTGGAGGGAAGGAATCATCCCACAAAGGCTTATCACTCCACTTACAGCCCTCTCTATTAGTCTCATTTAACACTGACACTTTAATGGACAGTTTTTTTCTCTCCCCTCTTTCCTCTTTTTCTGCTTTATATTTGGCCCTCTGTACCTCTTGCTCCATATTTGTCATCTGAAGAAGTGGGTTGTGTCCATGAAAGCTCATGATACTATCTATATTTTTTTGTTAGTCTCTAAGCCCTGGTCTACATTAGGGAGTTATTTTGAAAAAACTCCCCTTATTTCAAAACAAGCAGAGCATCCACACTACCATGCCCATTCTTTCAAAATAATAACTCTGCTTTCCACAACAAATGATGCTTATTTTGAAATAATTATTTTGAAATAGCAGGAGTGTGGATGTTCCACTGCTGCTATTTTGAAATAACTACTCCCCAGAGTCATTCAAAGTAATTACTCCCCAGTACTTCCTGGGGTTGTAAGTCAAGGTAGCATGTCCACATTAAGGGAGTCTGCCTTGAACCAGTTTTGAAGTTTCCCTTTAGTGTGGACAGGCTATTTCAAAATAGTTGTTTTGGGAGTCATTGTTTTGAAATGAAATAATTTCCTAGTGTAGACGTGCCCTAAGGTGCTACAACACCGCTCCTTGTTTTTTCAGCTTTTTTTTTTTTAATTTACAGACTAACGTGGCTACCCCTCTGAGACTCACAAAGGTTGTAGAGCAGCTCAGGAGTAACTCTGTAATTGCTACTGCCTCTCTACAGCTGCAAGAGCTCTTGTAGACCTAATCTACTCCCTCTGGCAGGTGGCAGGGTCAGAAGAGAAGATGCACACACAGCAACTAAGTCTCATGATGCTTCCAAGGGAATCATAATAAAATTCTTTGCATATAAAGACTTCAATTCCTCAAAGCACTGAAGCATGCAAATAGTCTCACTGAACTCAAGGGTTCTACTCACGTGCTTCAAATTAAGCACATAAATAAATCCTTGACCGGATCACAGCTGCAAGACATTTTGTAATTAAGCACCTTAAAACATTTTACAAACATTAGCGAATTAATCATCATGACAGGCCTGCAAGGTGGCAAATATTTTATCCTCATGCTATAGATTGGGGAGTTAAGGCACAAAGAAGCTAAAGATCAAATACTGCGAGTTTTAATACCCCCAGTTCCTATTAAAGTCAATGAGAGTCCACAGTGCTCATCACCTTGTGTGATTAAGCCCAAAATGACTCATCTGAAGTGTCAGAAGAGTTGTATAATGAAGTACATGACCATTATTTCTAGGAAAGTAACAATGGAGTCCTAGCCAAATTCCATCTTGGTTAACTGAATTTTGCTTATATAAATTCACCCCACAATTCTTCTTCGCTTCCAATCGTAAAATGGTGTGTAAGACTACAGGTTATTGTCAAACTACTACTGTCTGCATGTCAGAGGTGTATTAAATGATCTCTAGAGCTATAGTTTGGGGGTAGATCCTAGGTGAAGATCCACCAAAGTTGACAGAGCTATGCCAGTTTACACCAGGTGCGGGTGTGACCTATAGTTAAAAATATAGATGTTCACATTTGTAAAGCACTTTGGGATCCCATGGATTTAAAATAGAGAAGAAATTGAGACAAAATGTGGGTTCTTGTCAGGAAGATATTAAGGTAAATTATCTAGTGAAGTTAATTTCAAATTTGTTTCAATAATATTAAATGTATAATATGAAAATTGCGTGTGATGAAAAGCAACAACCTCTTTGAAGAAAAAAAGTAATTGCAAATAAATCCTGATTTAACTTCTTTTACTTGAGCTTGTTTCTTTAAAAAGGAATGATAAACAAAGCTAGTGAAAACAAACTTCCTGTGGAAAATGTCAGTATTGTGGCAGAAATTCAAAACTTCAAAATTTTTCATCTGAAAACCAAAGTATCACAATTTGGGAATGTCTTGTTGCCATAATGAAGGTGACATTTGGGTGCCCCATGTTCCCATTCTCCTCTATGGGCTGGGCAAAATGGTCCGACTCCATCTTCTATGATGGACCACAGTCAGCCATCTTGAAGGAGTGAGGCAATGCATCAGGAGAATCTCAGACAATCAAGGCATCAGGACTAAAAGTAAAACTAAAACTCCCATGAGGCACCATGAGGGCATCTCCAAATTGAAATATTTCTTTGTTTGACCAGAATACTACTTATTTCAGTTATTCTATTTTTTGAATAAAACATCAATATTTTCTGCAGAAAATGGACGCTTTTTGTGAAAAATTACATTTATTTAAAACTCTTTTCTGTTGAGAAATAGCTTCAGCAGACAATTTTTGACCAGTCCTAGTGGCGAACACTTTTCAAACAAAAGAGAAACCACTTTGGGGAGCTAAGGGGTGTTTTAAGACAGACTAAATGTAGTATAGTTGATTCGATGGTTTTGTACAGAAAGGCTGTACAACATTCAACTATGTGTTTGAATTTGGGCTGGGATGGAGTGCTTCCTGTTTCTTTCATATTTTCCTTTGCTTTGCTTGTTTAAAATTAGATATTTGCTTGGAAATAGGGTTTTATATGAACCATTGACATACTGGTTCCATCTAGGATGCATTATAGAGATTAGTACCAGATCTATACAGCTGTGATTCTCAACTGGTGGTCCATGGACCACTGGTGGTCCATGGTGACTTTTTCAGTAGTCCACAGGAACATTGTCCAAAGTCACACAATGTGAGCAGGGACCACTGTTAGACTGTTTTACGCCATGTTCACAAGCACACGGCGTGTCATCCATAGCATCACCTAGGATGCAACCGCGTTATGTTGCCAGTAACTTCCGTCTGAGGCTCTGAGTGTCAGTGTAGCTGCCGCCATTGTGCTGAGCAGTTGCTGTGTCGTTTGTCCTGTGCTACATGTGCTGGAGGTGGTGCATGAAAAATTTTTGATTGGCCTGGTGGTCCGTGGACTGAAACGAGTTGAGAACCATTGCTATACAGGAAGGTGAGAAATCGCCGTTGCTGACAGTTTTGGCATTTCTATTGTAGAAGTTACCGCCTAACTCCAAGTACATATAGGTCCTGAAGCATGAGAGTTTATATCCGTTGTAAATGTGTGTTTTATCTAATGTTAGAGGAACTATTCTTATTCAGAATAAATCAATATTTTCAAATATGGGTACCTAAAATTAGACAGGTTTTATTCAGTTCTCTAAGAACACTTTATTTCTACAAAGAGTAAAGAAGCCATGCTATGTTTAGGCTCCTCAATCCTTATTTGGCACCTGAATTACTGGACTGTTTTTCAAAGCATTGTACTTCCACCAGATCCAGTGTCGCCACTTCTCATGAATGTATAGCAAGTTGCAAGATATTTGATGTTTTCTTAGGGTATTGTCTACACTTGTAGTTAAAGACCTGTGCCAGCTGACTCAGGCTCTCGGAGCTCCGGCTGTGGGGTGGTTTAATTGGGGTGTAAATGTTTGGGCTCTGGGACCCTCCCACCTCACAGGGTCGTAGGCCCCAGACTTCAGCCCAATCCCAAACGTCTGCTCCGTGATGACCCTTCCCAGCCCCGCAGCCTCAGCCTGAATCAGATGTGTAATTGTAGTGAAGACAAACCCTTAAAGCCCAAGCCGCTGGAAAAAAGTTACTGAGAGTCTCAGCTTTTATGCAGGGTATACACATGCTAAAACTCTAGCCCTCCTGCATGTGGAGAAAAGCTTGAAATGGTGACCTCTAAATGTTCCTAAAACAAGCCCCCAGATTCTTAGTGTTTAAACTCTTTGGGGGCAGGCACAGTCTTTTTTATTCTGTGTTTCTCTAAGTGCCAGCACAACAGGGCCCTGGTCAGTGGCTGGGGCTTCAAGGTGCTACGATAATGCAAATAATTATATTTTAAAATCTTTTGATTCTGGAGGCCCAGACATCATTTTTGAACAACTGGAATTGGCAGGACTGCAAATCCTATTGAAGTCAATGGGAGATGCTGGGTGCTCACTGGAGTGTTTTGGAGGGGTGGGGATCGTGTGACGTACAAGCTACTTATTTGAAATCAGTGGAAATAAGAACCTTAAATACCTTTGAGAATCTGGTCTGATTCTACCCAGTCACTTGCTTTTGAGTGTCTTGGCCACAGCACATGAAGCAAATGTGACTGTGAAGCACATAAGCTACTGCACTGAGATTCTGCTACAGTTCCCCTGTGAATACCAAACATGAAGAAGTCTCACAGTGGCTGTTTCTGCCCTACAGCAACTTTTAATTTGTGATGATTGACACTCCACCTACGCAATGCATCATCATCATCATCCATAAGAAACATCAGATCTAGTTTAGGATAGCTAATTGTTGGGAATTATCAGTAACTGACAGTGGCCTACAGGAGCTGCTGCTGTATTCGTTTGTTTTTCCCAAGCACCTATTAACTGTGGCTAGCCTGGACCAAACAAAGTCTGTGCCAAACAATGTACCTGTTTGGAGAATGGCATAGAGAGCCTGATCCTCCACTGCCTTGCACCTTGTGTCAGCAATGATAATGGAGGTGAGTGAGTGCAAAATGAGTGTACAACGTGGCCATTCCAATTTGGAAGCATTTTATATGGGCTTTGCACAAGTGTAACTGCTTACACAAGACAGTAGAGAATCAGGCCCATGTTTTTATATAGCAGCATTCATGTAGGAGGACTTCCAAATACTTCCTGAACTTTTATATATTGAGGGCTCATGTCTGCAAGGGACTGAGTACCTCCTGTGAATCCAGTGGGGCTTCCAATTATTTTATTGTGACCTGAGGATGCAAAAAAAAAAACAAACCCTGCAGGATCAGGCCCTACATAACTCCCTTGAGTTATTTGCTATGGGATAAATTATCAGTTCTCGTGGCAGGTGATAATGTTGGTGCTCTTTTTTTATGAAGAACTCTGATAAACATCTGAGGGAGTTTTGGGTATAAAGCACAGAATTTCAAAAATATCACTTTAGACCTATTGTGTGTACATAAAAAGAGAATTTTTCCCGGTATATATGAACCACATCACCCACCTGCAGAGGGAAATGCAACCACATCTGGGGTGAAACAGATCCTGCTACATCATGCGTAGCAATACCACAGGACAGGAAGCAAAGAATATGGTGCCCGATTGAGACAATGGAAAATGTGGGTAAGTAGAACATGTTACCCAAACTGGAGTTAATTCCTCTCCTACTGGGGAAAGGACATGGGTTCTTTAATGACCACAAGTGGTTAGGAGCTCAGTTTTACATCTCATCTGAAAGTCAGCATCTCCAGCAGCACAATGCCCGTCCATCAGGTTCAATGGGGACTCAGAAGGAAGAATGCCACCTACTAAATCCCCACTTCCCTCAGCGCATGGTTTTTCTCTACTGGTTTGCCATCCCAAGTATTGAGGGAACCCAGACACGTTTTGCTCATGAGAGCTAACAATATCACAACCCGAGGTGGGACAGTGGTATAAAGTATGTGCATTGTGAACTGCCATGTGTGATTTCTGGAATAAATACCATTGCCATCTCATGGAAACTTAGGTGCTTTAAATGGTCATCTTCTCCCTTCAAACTCTCCATAAGAATAGCCTGAATGAAGGCTGAATTGACTGAATCATCTATTCTAGGTCCATATCTGCAAAAGGCGGGGGACAGGGGGATGAGGAGTTCAGCTCTGCATGATATTGTTATGCTGGGCAATGACACCTCTTTATAGAAGCTGTTGGGCATGATATCAGCCTTCTATTCGGGCCAAATGAGGGAACAATAAAATGCACAGCTGAAACAATGGAAAGCCACCACTCATTGACTATGCTGCATGCAGATGTGAGCAGTGGCTAGCCCATGCATCCCAGGGATCTGATATAAACACAGGGGCTGGGGATTTATTTTATTTCCTATCTGAGACTGTGATGGAAGGTGGAAGCCCCAGAGAGAATGTGTGGTCCCTGAGAGCTGGTCAGTTTACCTTGAATGCCTGTCCCAAGGTTTATTAGTTTTTCCTTTTCTTCAGCATCCCAAAGAAGGAACCATTTAGGTGTGGAATGTTTATGTTCCATGTCCTTGGTTACAAGCACAACAGACTACACCCAGATACGTACTTGACTCAGAAAATAATACACTATCTGAAAAAATATCCAAATCACAAATGTCATGAACGCTGAAGTAATTTGTAGTCTAAAGCCATCACCCCTCACATACTGGAAGATTTGTGTTCTATAACTCACGACACAATGCACTTTACAGCTGTGTGAGCTTTTCATTTAGAAACTTACACCCACATAAAAAAAACATCTGTATTTTGCTTTTGTTTGTGAACCTGAAACTCACTCTGGGTGTCTCAAATGTGGGGTTTGTACAGCTGCAAATGCATCCGTGTTTTTATTCTTACCCATGGGCTATCTTTCCAACAGGCCACCAGGGGCCCTCTAGTTTCTCAGGGGTAAGTGGTTCAGGTAGCATTTAACAGTCTTTTCTGCCTGTGTCTTCTCCACACATACATCTTTCCATTCTTCAGTAGAAGACTGGTGGCTGCCTCCCATCTATCCTCAAATGGTGATAGAGAGCTGTTTACCCCACCTTACTTGGTCATGTTGGTAGGTTGGCATGACTCCATGGTGCAATCCAAAACACGTAAAGGTTTTCTTGGGTGTCAGAAGCTGCCCAGTTTTACCCAGTGAGTGGCAAGCAGCTTGCTTCTACAACTGCCTCTTGCTACCTGAGCATCCCAGAAACTCACAAGCATTTTCTAGATAAAACATCTAGAATATCTGAAGAGAAGGGGATGGAGACAACTGTCCCCTTCCCGAAGACAATGCATTTGTGTGTGGTTATGCAGGGCTCAGATGTTCTGTCTGCTGGAGACAGAATGTAGAAGGCATCTCAGGCTATGTCTACACTACAGAGTTTTTGCGGAAAAACAGTTGTTTTTCCGCAAAAACTCGCAAAGCGTCCACACCTCAAGCGCATTTTTGCGCAAGTAAATCAAAAGGTCAGAGGGGTTTTTGCACAATTGGTAATCCTCATTCTACAAGGAAGAATGCCTTTTTGCACAAGAACTCTTGTGCAAAAAGGCATGTGTGGATGGGGAAGAGGGTTTTTTTGCAGAATAAGAGGAAAGAGGAAAAAGCACAGGTGTCCTGGTGGCCATTCTGTGCATAGCAATCACTGCTTATTTGTGAGATAGTAATAGAAATGTAGCCGTGTTAGTCTGGTGTAGCTGAAGCAAAATACAGGACTATGTAGCACTTTAAAGACTAACAAGATGGTTTATTAGATGATGAGCTTTCATGGGCCAGACCCACTTCCTCAGATCAAGTAGTGGAAGAAAATAGTCACAACCATATATACCAAAGGATACAATTTAAAAAAATGAACACATATGAAAAGGACAAATCACATTGCAGAACAGAAGGGGGATGGGGGGGAGGTGAATGTCTGTGGGCTAATGATATTAGAGGTGATAATTGGGGAAGCTATCTTTGTAATGGGTAAGATAACTAGATCCTTTGTTTAAACTCAGATGTAGAGTGTTGAATTTTAGCATGAATGACAGTTCAGAGGATTCCCTTTCAAGTGCAGATTTGAAAGGTCTTTGTAGTAGGATGCAGGTAGTTAAGTCGTTGAGACAGTGTCCTTTCTGGTTGAAATGGCAAGAAACTGTTTTTTCTTTGTGAGAGAGCATCCAGGCAGTCTGGATGCTCTCTTTTGCAAAAGCGCATTGCTTTCTCGATGTGTTTTTGCAGGGGGGACACACTCTTGCACAAGAAGTTTTTGTGGAAGATCTCTTCCAACAAAAGCTTCTTGCACAAAAAGCCTGCAGTCTAGACATAGCCTCAGTGATACAGGGAGCAGTTAACAAACAGTGAAGGAGATTCCCATATTATTATCATAGAAATGTAGGAATGGAATGGACCTCAAGAGTCTTGTCCATTCCCTTGTGGACTCAGGAATAAATACACCAAGAACATCTGTGACAGGTATTTGTCCAATGATGTGGATTCTACAACCTCCCTTGTTAACCAATGCTTAACTAACCTTATAATTTTCTAACCCCATCACTAAAAAAACCTTTCTCCGTGACCATGGTGAAGTTATTTGATCTTTCCACCCTTGTTGCCCCATCTATAAAATTGTGATAATTAGATGTATTATTTACTACATAGGGCAGTATGATGATTAATTAGTTAACATTTGCACGGCATTGTCAAAGTAAATCTTATTGCAAGTGAGAGATGGTGAGGACTGTGGAGAGAAAACAATATCTCTCATGGGTAAGAATAAGGGGGGAGCAGAAAAATGAAAGCACAGAGATTAAAGGTGCCAGGAAAAATAGAATATAGAACAAAAGAGGAAGAACCCATGTAATACTGGAGAGAGCAAGGGGCTTGACAATAACGCATGTGGTGAAAATGAAACAAAAGAAAAGAGGAGAGGAGAGAAAAGACCAGAAATGTGAACAAAGAGAAAATGTTATGAAGGATGGGTAGAAAGAAAAGAAAAAGAAAGATTTAGATGTCTGTTAGGTATTTTTATGAAGCCTGTTATTATTGTATCTAAGTACCAACTGAATGGGTCAGAAATAGGAGACAGAAAAATTGAAAGAAATAAGCAAGAAAAAGTGCAGGTAGCTTTCCAGTAGAGCTGTTCAAAATATTTTCAAAGTTATTTTTTGTGATAAAAAATTAGCTTTAGTCAAAAAAGGAAATTCTTCATGATTTTTTCAGGTGTTTGTTTAAAAAAGAAGAAGAAGCCACAAGCATGTTTTCAGTTTTCAACAACTGAAAACTCTGCTTTTTACTGAAAACTTTCTGTTTTTTAGTTTTTGATGGGAAGCTGACATTCTTTGTGGGAAAAATAATTATTTCCCAGTCATCTCTATTTTTAAGTTAATGAATTTAGACTCAATTTTTACAATACCTAAATATTACACTAAGGCCTCTTCACAGCAATTTGGTAGCAGGGCAAAAAGAAAGAGCTGTAAAGGGCCTTACTCTAACTAAGAAACCCAATGAAGGTAGACACCTTTATTGCCATTCCCTGGTCATCATCCTTTATCTCAGCAAGTTGGGGCAAAAGGCATGGGATGGCTCCTTTGAGCACAGCATTATGGAAAATCTGCTAGCAAAAGTTTTTGCTTATTATAAATTTGTTAAAGAGATTCCTGTTCCCTTTCCCACCAAAGTACAAGGCTAAGACACAGAATGTGCATGAGTTACTTAAACTAGGTATGACGTCTGCACTGCACCTTGAATTTTTGGATCATCTATGTGCTTTTGCTGATATGGAAGTCTGAAATGTTGGTTAGGCTAATGGTGCATCAAAACAGATAAATCAACAGTCAATTATAATAGTTAATGCAAATGAGGCAACTTGGTGTGTGTGTGTTTCCTAAAGCCTGTGGAAATGAATATTGGTGGCACTCATCCCATTTCTAAGCTTTGTGCTTGAGGGAATGAGGAAAGCTACACAGATGATCCTGGGAAAGTTTACACAGAGAAAATGCATCAGCCAGCATATCACTTGTTTTAATATACTGCAAGCATGATAGCTGTCACTCTTTGATTGCCTCCCAAGGCTGTTAACATCGGGCACAATCAACTCATTAGGGACTGGAGACTGCTGGCTGTTATGGTGCCACCAATGCAACAGAATCAACTCCCTACCCATCTACCATGTTTTGGCTTGTGGAGCTTGCCAGCCATACAAGGGGTAGTACTCTGCACCCCATGGAGGATACAGTATCAATCAGACCACTCATGTGTACTAAAAGCCCTGGAAGGCATTTTCCCTAGGGGAATTATTCTGATTTCCTTTCTCACAGTGGCTACATCTACGCTGCAGTGCTATTTCGGGATGCCAGAGGTATCCCGAAATAGCTATCCTGCATCTTAACAGCACGCCCGTTATTTTGCAATATAATGGGCTCGCAGTTCTTATGTCCCTGTAAACCTCATTCTATGAGGAGTAAGGGATGTTTCAGAATAGGGGGTTATTTTGAAATTTGGCACTGTTACAAAATAAGTTATTTCGAAATTGACTCGAAATAAGCTACGCAATTTGCATAGCTCAACTTGCGTAGCTTATTTCGAGCTCCTGGTGCGGTGTAGACACAAGTGTGAGCTTACGCAAAAGTAGTCCTACTGAAAACAAGGGGGAAAGTCATGTGGAGTGAGCCATCCCACGTAAGTAAAGAGGTTAGAATCTGCTCTTTGCTAGAATGCCTCCCAGAGCTGCTGGACATTCAGGGGCTGCCTTCCCAGTGCTGCACTAAGGAGCTACTCTTTGAGCAAGGGGCCATAATCCGGCTTTAAATGATGCAGGATTCCTTTCAGTGAGCCCTCAGTGCCCCTTAATATGGGCAGTGCCTGCAAGGCCTGCCTGAGCCCTGTGTCTATCACTCTAGTCACAGTGGCGCTACAGGTAGGTATTAATCTTGCTCTCATGACATTAATATGGCAGGATAGGGTGCAGTCCAGCAGAGATTATTTTATTGACATGATTTGTTTTGATAGCCCCTCCAACACAGCAGTTCATTCACTGTAGCATTCATTCAACTGCTTTTGTGGGAAATTTCACCGAGACACAGGGCGTTTGCATTAGTAATAATACTTAGCATTTATATGGGGCTTTATACATCCATTGTGCTGTACAAACATTGACTAATTCATCTTATCTGTTTATTTAATGGCAGTTGCCTGCAGCTTTGAGGCAGCTGAAGTTGGTTTGATCCCAGTCACACATCTTTCAGCCACAGGGCTGTTATCTGAATAATTTCCCGTCTTAGTCACGGTTAAATATTTGTGGCCAGTTTCTGTTCTTAGTTACCCCAAAGTTAATCCATCGCAATTCCACTGACTTCACTGGAACAGTTTTGGATGTGCACCAGTGAAATTATAGCAAAATGTAGTTGCTGGGGGACATTTAATTGGATATCGTTTTTTTACAATTCCACTATACAGGCAGTCCCCGGGTTACATGGATCCGACTTACATCAGATCCCTACTTACAAACGGGGTGAGGC